AATAAAATACAATAAAGATTTGCCTGGAAGCAATTAAACAAAAGTCTTACAGTAATCCAGATAGATTCTTCCCTGTTACTGACAGGGAGTGGGGGGAATTAAAAAAAAATTGAAACACTAAATAAATACTTCTAAAATTTTGTTCATACCATTCACAAACTGCAAGCAGAGAACATATGTTTTCTCCTAAAACAACTATGTGATGATTTTTTTGTTATTTTATAATGAGGGTGGCATCTTAAGAGAGTGATGCAGCTGGCATTCTATTAAAAGACAGAGCTTACCCTCAAGGCACAAGTATCCTGGCATGCAAGTATCTTCAAATCTGGAAGAAAAGTCTATGCAATGTGCCATTTTCCAAAGTGAGGGTTTTCACTTAAGAACTCAGATGCAGGCAGGAAGCGGGCAGATAAAGGAAGGAAACAGCTTGGAAGAAATTTCATAACAATTGACTGACATATAGTTGTTGGTTTTTTGCCCAAATAACATCACACGAGGAATGAGGAACTCATGTAAACCCATACATAGTTGTCAACACATGTTATGAAGGGGTAGCTGAGAGAGTTGCTCATAGAAACCATGCTAGTGCGTGTTTTCATCTTCTTGTCTAGGCATTTTAAAAAAATCCAGTCTAAATTCTTAGAACATGGGGCTCCAAAGTGACGCTGGCCAGCTCTTTGTGTTCATTTAGCAGGAATCAAGCAGTGCTCAGTCCCATCCCATTCACCCCCAGCTACAGGCCCAGGACTAGAACTGCTCTCTGCAACATCCAAGAGATACCTAAGAGAAGTGCAGGTGTGCCCACTGGTTTGGGAGATTTGGGGTGATACTGGGGGGGGGGTCATTTCAACTGCGCCCCTTGCTATTTTTCTACAAGGGAAAGGACTACCATCATTGGAAACCTCCTCTTGTCTTTCCCCTCACCTCATGAGGTGGGTTTGGTGTCCACTAGACTTCGCACTACTTCCGCTGGGGTGCCTACCCATGGAAGCCCTTCTGCCAATCAAGATGTCTCAGGCCTCTTCATTGTATTCTTCCAGGCATCTCAAATAGGCATGTTTTATTAACAAGGCTTTTGGATGATTAAAGAACTTTGTGCTGGCTTAGGCTCTGTTTATTTTAACTGACTGGTGGATTTCTTAATTCATGCTATATTGCACTGGATTTAGTTTGGATTTAGTTTAGTTGTTTTTAATTATTTTTTTGTACCACCACCAACCTCATGCTCATCTGTTGACCACCTTAAATTTCCTTTGAAAACATGGCGGGGTAGAATTATTTTAAATTAATAAATAGCCATTTGTAAATACAGAGTGTGATCCGATAAAAAAATTTCACTAAGCACAATGATAAATTATAAGGTGTGCACATTTTTTTGCTAAACTTTTGAAACCAGAGGAGGCTTTCCTTGCAGTTACAAAATGCAACACATAGCCGAGATTATTGAAATAAGCATTTTGTAACCTTTCAAAAATACAGAGAGAGTGCAATCATTTGTCCTTTAGGAGCTATTCTACACCGTACACAGAATAAGGTAAAGGTACCCCTGCCCGTACGGGCCAGTCTTGCCAGACTCTAGGGTTGTGCGCTCATTTCACTCTATAGGCCGGGAGCCAGCGCTGTCCGCAGACACTTCCGGGTCACGTGGCCAGCGTGACAAGCTGCATCTGGCGAGCCAGCGCAGGCACACGGAACGCCGTTTACCTTCCCGCTAGTAAGCGGTCCCTATTTATCTACTTGCAACCGGGAGTGCTTTGGAACTGCTAGGTTGGCAGTGGCTGGACCGAACGACAGGAGCACACCCCACCGCGGGAATTCGAAACCGCCGACCATGCGATCGGCAAGTCCTAGGCGCTGAGGTTTTACCCACAGCGCCACCCCGCGTCCCTCAGAATAAGATGGTAGAAAATTTGGACAGCAGGTTGGTGGGGGGACTGTGATTTTGAACCTTGCCCCCATGTAACCAGCTCTCTGCATCCTGTGAACTAGGACATCAGAGAGATGGCTACACGAAAGTGGGAATCTTTTCTATTTGTTTTACAAGAGGGTACTAAAAAATAAGAGGGAGCATTCAAGCACATGACCTTCCCACTTGTGGTTCAGTTTAGTTCATTCTGCAGAATAAGTAGATTGCCTCCAACTCTCTCCTCTTATATTCTTAGCTTCATCTTATCATACCAACAGCCATATCATATTTGTACTTTGTCATAAACTATGTGCTTTTAAAACTTAAATGAAACCATCAAACCTTTACAGGGACCTTCTATCACCACAAATATTCAGGCACGTCATGAGGTATTTCTAAAAAGAATTCCTTCTATCTACAGGAATTAAATGGCAATTGCAGAGGGAAGTGAAAGGTTATATCAAAACACTGATGTTAGCTGTGTATTCTTGGAAATCATACCAGAAAACTATTAAATGAACTGTATAATTGTGCTTTCCAATACATCAGACATTTCTGGAAGAGATTCAACAACGAAGCAGAACCAAACGTATGCAAAAATGTAGCGGTATAAAGAAAAAATATTGCCACAAAGCACCTAGCTTTAAAGTCATGCAGCATAATGGACACTGTGTACTTAGACTTTCAAAAAGCTTTTGATAAAATCTCTCACCAAAGACTCATCAGTAATCTTAGCAGTCGTGATATAAGAAAACAGCTCCTCTTGTGGATCAGTAGCTGACTAAGGAACAGAAGCAGAGAGCAAGGAAAAATGGACAGCTCTCCCGGTGGAGGGATATAGAAAGTGGAGTCTTCCAAGGGTCAGTATTTGGACCTGTGCTTTTTAACTTGTGCACATCTGAACTAGGGTTAGGGTTGAGCAGTGAGCTGGCCAGGTTTGCTGATGATACTAAACTGTTCATGGTCATTAAAACAAAAAGGGATCTCTTAAAAATTAAACTTGCAAATGTAATTCAATGTAAGGAAGTATAAAGGGATGCTCATCATTGGGACAAAAATCCTAATCTAACATATACACTAAGGGGGTTTGAGCTAGCAGTGAATGACTGAGAATGAGACCTCAGGGCCTCTGTGTGGATAGACTGATGAAGGTGTAGACCCAGTGTGTGGCAGCTGTGAACAAAAGTGAACCCTAGGCTAGGAATCATTAGGCAAGGAATTGAAAAGAAAGCTCCCAATTTCATAATGTCATTATAGAAATCAATGATGCAACCACACTTGGAATACTGTGTACAGTTTTGGTCACAACACCTTGAAAAGGAGTTGGAGAAGGTTAGAAAAGGGCAACCGAAATGGCTGAGGGGTTGCAGGACCTCCTCTATGAAAAAGGTTACAACATTAGAGGCTTTTTAGGGGTGTGGGGTTGTGGGGGGGGGAATATGACTATGGGAAGATGTGACAGTAGTGTGTTGAATTATACACAGCATGGAGAAAGTGGACAGAGAAAAGTTTCTCTCCCTCTCTCATAATCTGAAAACCCAGGGCCATCCAGCGAAACTGAATGGTGGAAAATTCAAGGCAGATAAAAGTTAACTACCTCTTCACACAGTCCATAGTTAAAACTAGGGCAGTTGCTACTACAAGTTGTAGTAATGACTATCAACTAGGATGGGGATTGGAGGTAATGCACCTCTGAATATCAGTGGGGGGCACAGCTGGGGAGACTCCTGCTCCACAGTAGGCTTCCCATAGGCATCTTGCTGTTTATTGCAAGAACAGAATGCTGGACTAGATGGGGCTTTGGTCTAATCCAGCAGGGCTCTTCTTATGTTCTTAAGGCAAAATTGCTTCTAAACCTTCATTTTGCCATGCTCTTTTGCTGTTTAATCTTTTGAGTGTTTCAGAAATGAAATAATGCTCTGCTTGTACCCACCATATCCCCTGTGTACATTCAGTGTTGCTTTACAAATTTGGAACCAAGCAATGTTGGGATAATATTTTGCCTGTGTTTCCATACCTACTATAACCAGTGTTTTTTTCTGGGGCGACACAGGGGGACGCACACCCCTAAACATTTTGTGAATCTTTGTACTTTTGTCCATTTACTGTATTTATTTTTACCAATTTGAACTATAAAATGGTGATTTTCTTGAGTCAAAATGAGAGTACCCCTAAACATTAAAAAAAAAACAAACACTGACTATAACTATGCATGGACATTTTCATTTATAAAGATTGTAACCAGTATCAGGTGAAGTATTCAAAAAGCAGTTAGATAATTTAATGAATTTAAGCTGTCTTTCATGGATGTTATGCCCCCTCAGCTTGAATAGGAAACTTATGTCAGGCACCCAAGTTGGGAGAAATGTAAGATATACAATAATAACAACTAGCTACATACCACAGGTGTTTCCTCTTTTAGTCTTTTTCTTTTTTGCATCAGAAATGTATTAAGATTTGTTGGAAATAAAAGACTTAATATTTTAAATGCTATATAAGGTGCGGTGAGATCTTGCTCTTTTGACTTCAAGAAACTAATTCGACAACCGCTCTGGAAGTTCTTCCCATGCAATATGTCTAAAGTTTACAAATTAAAAAATAACCTAAAACTGGAGAGATATTTCAGTACTTCTAGCAAAATGAATCCAATCTGCAAGGAATGATAAGTATATTTTTTGTAATCTTGAGCACTTTCACATATTCAAAGTATTTATAAGCTTCCACCACAAACTGCTGTCATTTCATAGCATGAAAATGGATGATGAGTGAGTGGGATCATGGGTTTCCACATAACTCTTTCCACTATATACAACCAGCTCTTTTCACTGTAAACAACACTGGAATAAACTTGATGTCAAACGGTTAAGCAGCTACACTTGAAAAACTGCTATCAAGTGATTGTTACACAACATGGCTTTGCTCTCACACTATATAATACCAGATTCATGGGGGGGGGGGGAATCAAGAGCAAAAGCATGCCTAAGTGCCATATATATATATATACACACACACACACACACACACACACACACACACAAACTCCAAGTCTCTTTCTCTCTCTTTCTACATATATATATATTTAAAAGCGTCCTACCTTTCTGTACACCAACATATTTGGGGATTCATCAGCCACCCCATTGCTGCTCTGTCCATAATTATTTCCTTGTGCCATGTCTGAATGGTTTGGTCTGCTGGCAAGTCTTCTGCAGTGCAATTTGCCTCTGTTGAAAATGAAAGTGATCTCAGTCAGAGATTTTGGCGGGTCCCTTCCGGATGCTGACGATTAAGAGCTCTGACTTCCCAACAGAGTGCTTCCAAGTGCCACCTTCACTCACCCCTGTGACCTTGCCCCAGTTGCTGCCTTGAGGGAAAGTAGCCCTTTCCCCTTCGCCACCCAGTTCATCCTTTTCCCCTCTGCCTATAAATAAGGCAATCCTACACTTTTCCAATGCTGTTTAGAGTATTTTTTATTTTTTTTGAAAGGCTACAGCAGTGTGCTAAGGAGAACCAAGGCGATGCAGGCACCCTTCTAGCGAGCGCCGGTCCCTCGACTCCCGTCCAAAGCAGGCCACTTGGCCGCCACCTTTTGCTCCGGGAGTCAAGGAGCGAACAGCCTCCGGCTGCAGCCCTTCCTAATTGCTCGCTCGGAGGCGAAGCTCCTTCTGTGCCTCATTAAACGCAAACCAGCCAGCCCAGCACCGTTCCCTCTGCGACACGCAGGCGGGCACACACACGTGTCTGCCTGTCGAACATCCTCCCCCCCCCCCCGCCGTGCGCGCATCTCTCTCTCCCCAGCAGGATCCATCCGGTGCCTCCCCCCCCCCCATGAAACAGTTGCTGGACTGGAGGGAGAGCTCAGCTGGTAGTGCACGAGACTCTGAACCTCAGGGTCGTGGGTTCGAGTCTCCAACGGGAAACCCATCCCTGCATTGCAGCGGGTCGGACTAGATGACCCTGGGGGTGTCCCTCGCCACTCTACAATGCTACAGCGGCGAGAAGAGCGCGCGGTGCCTCACTCTGCGTGGAAGAATGCGACCCCGTTCAGAGATGGCAGAGACTTGAATAAAAATAAAAAGGACTGTTCCTCCTTCAGCCCTCCGGCCTCGGCACTAGCCCGGCTCGGGCGCCCCTAGCCTTCCCCGCCAGCGGGCGGATGGCTGCAAATGGCAGGCGGGCTTGTTTTGCCCTGCAGTGAGGAGCCGAGGCTGGGCGCGTGATTTCAGCACCGCGGACAGCGCCTCCCGCGCCCCCTCGCCCGGCTCCACACACAACGCGGGCCGCGCGCGCGCGCACACACACACACACACAGCCCCCCACATTCCCTCGCTAGCCGCCGCCTCGGGCTCTTTACCTCCTGGGCCAAGGTCACACGCGGCGGCGGCGCCTCTCTCCTCGTCGCCTGCCTGCCTGCCTGGCCCCCGAGGCGGTCTCTGTCAGCCGGCAGCGGACGGCCAAGAGCCAGGCTCGTTCATCACACAAACAAGGCGGGCGGCGCGGCTGCTCCGGGGGGCTGGGGCCGCCAGCGCTGCTCCACAGCTTGCGGCTCCCCCAGAGCTTCTGCAGCAGCAGCAGCAGCAGCAGCAGCAGCCAGGCTCCCTCCCTGGAATGGAGCGAGGCCGCCGGTCACGTGGGGGAATGGAACGTCAATGGTGCTGCTGCTGCTGCTCCGCCGCACAAGCTGCTTCCCCAGCAGCGGCTGCGCGCCTCTCTCTCCCCAGCGGGAAGCGCGCGCGCGCGCGCTCACTGAGCGCCTACTAGCGCCTGCAATTGCCCGCGGGTCGGGCAATAACCTTGACGGGGACTTCGGCAGGATGAGGACCCGGAGAACGGAGCAAGGGGAGGGGTGTGTGTGTGTGTGTAGAATTGCGTTAAAGCAGCCCAAGCTGCGAAGGCGCTGCAGTGGGAAAGGAGGTCGCTTTGCATCTGTGGCGTGCGCTGCTCGGGCTGCTGAAACTTCAAGGCGCGACTCCGATGCCTTTTCTTCAGAAAGCCCTTCCGCAGTCCCCGAAATGTGTGGGGGGGGACATCTCGCCTTTTGTTGTTGTTGGCATTCTGTGCATGCCCAGAGGCACTCCCTTTTCCTGTGGCTGCAGCAGCCCCACTAAGCTGTTGCCAAGCCTGGCACTGGGGAGTAGAGGGGGAGTTCTTCAGTTCAATCTTCCACGTTGGCGCTTTACTCCAGGCGCAAATGCTGAGGAGTTTTGCCAAACTTGTTGCTAGCTAATAATTGAGGAACGCAGCAAACGCGTGGTGTGATAACGTTTTAGTAGTCTGTCAGATCTAGTGCATCCAATTATCTTATTTGCTCCACTTGTTCAGGTTGTAATGTTGTAACAGTTTGATGCTGACAGCTATGTTGCTTTCAGCTGATGTCGAAATGGGGAAAAAAAATGTGTTGTTTTTATTTTTGAAGCTGGGTAGGGTCCATTCTAAGAGTAAACAAGCGAAGACCCACCCTTTCTTCTGAGGCTTTCAACAAAAACTCTGAATGTGATAGGAGGGTTAGAAGCTCCTCTATTCTGTAAATGAAACCTGATCCTCAGGGTTTGCAAAAAAAACCACCTGATTCTATGCCAGAATGCCAGATGATGTCATATACAACACTGTGCTGCTCTGTAGATCTCTCTGAATATAGTCTAATACAAGAGAGAAACTAGGAGGGGGAAGTATGCTTGTTTTTGCATGATTTCAGTTTAGAGTGGCCTAATAAAATATCCACCTGCTGACTAAGGCAAACAAAGCAGAGTTGTGTCTAAATGCCTCCTCAACATTCTCCACTGTATTGGTTGGCAGAGAAACTGGGGGCTGGGGGGGGGAGTGGTTTCTCCTGGCAAAGGGGGAGTTCCCCAGCAATTTTTCAGTGTTGGGATTCACCACTAGCAGTGACACAACTTCTGTTTTCTTTTAGGGATCCAGCCCCCAAGCAAATGGCAGAAGTGACTATGTTGGCAACCCAACCACCATTCTGCCTCCTCCCCAATGCTCAAGATCTAGCCTGGTTCCAGGGCATTATGGGTGGGAAATGGCAGCTGCAGGGGGTGGGGTGCCGTGGACTATTGGAGAAAATTCTGCAAAGTGACCTTAGGCATGAGGAAAAGGGAAAGGTCAATTTTTCTCAGAAGAATACCTTCTGATATATATTTGTATTCTTAGCTCTAAATATATGGTATATAATTACTTGAGCACAATGTGACATTTTTTTTGCACCCAAAGAACTACAGAAATGGAAAGAGATGCCACACCACAAAATAATTTATTTGGGTAGCATCCATAATGGTGTAGAGATATTTCCTTCTGTTCCTCACTTCTGTTTTGTTGGTCATAATTTAGGGCCAGTTAACATACCATTTCTTGATCATAGCTGCTATATAAGAAAAGAATAAGTTTCCTTCCTGGGGTGCAGACTGTATGGTAACAGGCCAGTAAATATTCTGCTATGTGCCATGAACACAGCTCATCATATTGTTGAAAACCTTTACAAAGTGAGATGAGTCATACAGTGATAGACCAGAATCAGAATATCATACAATCTAATTACAAGGTCATATTGGTGATGGAGAAGGGAGCTATCATTTAATTTGGGGAAAATATACACAATTAAAAAATCCCTATGGTGTAACTCACTGTAATGTGGACGTTCCTTTACTCAATCTCCCCCACCGTCAAGGTCCAAATTTGCTTGCCATGGACATGTTGATACAAAAAGGTTATGAGAATTGGATTTTGGGGTTTTGTGAAAGCATGACAATCCCAAAACAAGGTCAAATATATTTAGCCCACAAAGTTAAACTATAGCCCTCAAATTAAAGGAAAACTTACAAGTTATGATCGACACAAAAATAATTTCCCCCATAATACAGGTTGTAAACAAATATGACATGCAGCTACTGCCAAAACACATGACTGCCATTCTCTGACATTATGACAAACATAATTACAAATCAATGGTGTCAAATACAGAGTGTGGCCCAGCTACAAGAGAACTTATAAATCCATTTGATTTCAAGTCTTAACACCTCCAATTTAATCAATGGGAATTAAAACTGTTTAACTGCAGTTGCATCAGCACCCTATTTATTTTTATTGATCTAAAGAGTAAAAGAAATTTAATCCAGAATTACTTCTGCCAAAATGGATGCCTTTTACTGGAGCGAAATATTATTCCCATTAAATGTGCTTGTTCTTATGTCCTATTTTTATGATTGGACAGATTATAATATTGCTACAACTACTAAATGTAGTTGTATCAATATGATAAATATCATATGTATGTTTATAGAAGGAATTCTTATATGTATGTTTATAGAAGGAATGCATAGAATTCTTGCTAAAGTTTTAAAATGAAAACTTCATTCTCAAATAGGATTTTTTATTTTTATTTTTTATAAGATATTTATTAGCGTTTTACAAAAAACATAGGTTTACAGAATAAAGGCAATTCAAACAAAAATTAAGAAACTAAAAAGAGAACATAGAAAAAAGAAGAAAGAAGCTAACAAGAAAAATACAGAAATTACCAAAAAAATACATAGAAGAAAAAAAAACAAGGATACAAAATACAAATAGCTGAAATTTTTTAAAAAAATAAATCCATTTTTCAATATCTTTAAGCTCATTTACTTGTTTCCTTGACCTCCTCACACCTCCCCTTTTTGTATTCCCATTTACAAAATCATTTCAGCAAATCCTTACCCTCTTTCATTTATCTTTACTCTATATCTTAATCTATTATAACTATATATTTTCATCCATTATCAATCCATATTTGCATATTCTTATTAACCTTATTACCAATACCACTTATTTTCAATCCAACATCATTTTAACATTCATTAATTTTACAGTATTTCTGCAAATAGTCTTTAAATTTCTTCCAATCTTCTTCCACCAACTCTTCTCCCTGGTCTCGGATTCTGCCAGTCATTTCCGCCAATTCCATATAGTCCATCACCTTCATCTGCCACTCTTCCAGGGTGGGTAAATCTTGTGTCTTCCAATACTTTGCAATAAGTATTCTTGCTGCTGTTGTTGCATACATAAAAAAAGTTCTATCCTTCTTTGGCACTAATTGGCCGACTATGCCCAGGAGAAAGGCCTCTGGTTTCTTCAGGAAGGTATATTTAAATACCTTTTTCATTTCATTTTAGATCATCTCCCAGAAAGCCTTAATCTTTGGGCACGTCCACCAAAGGTGAAAGAACGTACCTTCATTTTCTTTACATTTCCAACATTTATTATCGGGCAGATGATATATTTTTGCAAGCTTGACTGGTGTCATGTACCACCTGTATATCATTTTCATAATATTCTCTCTTAAGGCATTACATGCTGTAAATTTCATACTTGTGGTCCACAACTGTTCCCAGTCAAACATAATGTTATGTCCAACATCTTGTGCCCATTTAATCATAGCAGATTTTACCGTTTCATCCTGAGTGTTCCATTTAAACAGCAAGTTATACATTCTTGAAAGTATCTTTATTTTGGGATCTAGCAGTTCTGTTTCCAATTTTGATTTTTCCACCTGGAAGCCAATTTTTTTGTCCAAATTATAAGCCTCTCTTATTTGATAATAATGAAGCCAGTCTCGCACTTTGTCTTTTAATTTCTCAAAACTCTGCAATTTCAATTTGTCTCCTTCTTGCTCCAAGATTTCCCAATATTTCAGCCACTTGGCCTCCATATTGAGCTTTTTCTGAGCCTTTGCCTCCATTGGTGACAACCACCTTGGGGTTTTATTTTCAAGTAAGTCTTTATATCTTATCTCCAGACATTAAACAATGCTTTCCTGACAATATGGTTTTTAAATGCTTTATGTGCTTTAACCTTGTGGTATCACAAATATGCATGCCACCCAAAAACATTATTAAAACCTTCTAGATCCAAAATGTCTGTGTTCTCAAGAAGCAGCCATTCTTTCAACCAGCAGAATGCTGCTGATTAATAATAAAGTTTAAGGTCTGGCACGGCAAATCCACCTCTTTCCTTTGCATCAGTTAGTATTTTAAATTTTATTCTGGGCTTCTTGCCCTGCCAGACAAATCTAGAAATGTCTCTCTGCCACTTCTTGAAACAGTCCATTTTGTCCAGAATTTGTAGTGATTAAAACAAAAACAACATTCTTGGCAATACATTCATCTTTATAGCAACAAATAGGATTTTTTAAAAGGATCCTTTAAGAATTTGAATTGATCCTGATTCTGTTTTTTGCTCTCACAGAAAAACAAGATCCTTGAAATCTTTCGCCTATAAAGTTTTTCTTCAGTTTTATACATCTGTCTTGCTAAAACAAGCAGCAATATAAAAATATATAGTTAACATTATTTGGGTCTAGATTTTAATCCAGATGATGTTAGCAGGGACATGTTATTGCTTGCAGTGTGCACTTAAAACAATAATTATTCATGCTGTTAAAAATTACTGTTCCCAGAGCCAATAAGCATTTTAATCATGTTATTATATTTCATTCAAAAACTAATTGCCCATTTTTTGACACCCTTAAGAAAATATTTAGGTTTACAGACAATAAAGACTTTCTTCCAATCAAGCTCAGCAGGGGCCCCTTTTGTTGGGCAAAGACAAATAATGCGATATA